CCAATACATAAAATCACTTTCAATATATAAATTATAAAAACAAAACATTGGGTGCCTACTTAATTGAAATAGACATTAAAACTTTCCAACCTACTATTTTACGGTTCACTTTTCCGATTTTTAACTTCTTAAATTTTACATCCCTAATTTGGATCCAATAAATTTTAAAAAATTTGAGCAGAATTTCCTCTTAAAATAGGAACATATAAAAATTTTAACTCGTATACATAATTTTCATAACTAAAATTGCGTTACAATTGTATTAGATTTAGTTCAGTACAACAAAAAAAAAAAAAATCACTCAAGTTGTTTTGTGCTTGGTTCGTACTTGGCTTGAAGTTCTAATAATTAAAACATTAACATTTGCAAGTTTATGACCTTTTATCTTCATAGTATTCAACAACCAAATAGAACATGTAACACTAAGCAAACAATGAAAATTTTTGGTAACATAATCAAAGAAATATCAATTTCAAACATCATTTCAGAGCATTCTTACCCAATTTGCAAGCATGTAAAAGAGAAAACAAAAATGTATTTGTCACTACATCCCATCAAAATCATGCTTAGTTCTTGAATTTAGACCTTAAACCATTGCCCATTAATTAATAGTCAAAAACTTAGTCATGAGCTTGCTTATACAAACTTAATAAAACAAAACATGATAACAACTATCCACCCCAAATGGAATTAGAATGCAAGAATCACGATTTTCAAATACTACGATGAATGGTTACCTGAGGTATAGTGACACAGCCTTCAATAGGTGTCATTGGCCAATGGTTGAACATCTAAATTTTAAAAAGAATTACATTAAATCATAGGCACTCAAAATCAACTTAGCTTCATTTTTTCGACCTTCTAAATTTTAAATTAGAATTACATTAAATTAGAAGCATTCACTGCAACAAATGCCCAGAAGATCACATCAAAATTCAACACAATAGATTAAAACCAAAGCAAAACATTAGAATTTGATTGTGTTTTTTCTTTGTGTGCGGCATGTGTCGTGTGTTGACATCACGAATGAGAGGAAGCAAAAACACAATAGCAACACATTAATAGCCCAATTTCAACTGGCACTTCAATTCACAAAATTTCACAAAATTCACTGTCCATAAATTAACTACCTAAAAATTGATCTAGTCACGAAATTCATAGCACATTTAAAATTGCATAAAAAAATTTAAAATGGTAGAAAAAATACACCCAAACTCACAGTATGTGTGCGTGGCTGAGGAGTGGATTGCATGTGTGTGTTGTTTGCGTTGGCCAAGAGGCTTTGTGTGGGTCTGTGTGTGTGATGGCTGGGGGGTTTGGGTGTGTGTTGTTTGTGTATGAAAAGGGTAGAAGGAGGGCGAGAGAGGGTGACAGAGAGATGTGCTTGCAGACAGCAGTAGGTGTGGCTGTGATTTGCTTGTGCTCGTCTCTTAGGCATTTCAACAAACACATCATGGGCATTATGATTGGGGTCTGGGTTTTGGGCATCTCAGCAAACATTTAAGTGAGAAACAGAAAGAGGGGAGGGGAGGGGATGGAGAGAAATACCTGGAAGATGGTTTTGTGGTCTTGATGGTGGTGCTATGGTAGTGATAGTGGTGCTTTGCTGGTGTCGGTGGCACTGGTAGGCTAAGAGAGAGAGAGAGAGAGAGAGAGAGAACCCGTGAGTGTGTTAAGGGTGTGAGTATGGGTATTTTGTGCGTGTGTGCTGTGTTTGTGTATGGGGTGGTTTGTGCAGAGGGGGTATAAGAGGAGAGGGTGAGGCTTGCGCAGAAGGGGGTTGTTCGTAGAAAGGGAGAGCTGGGGGCTAGGGGTGTTATCTGCCAGCGTGTGTGAGAGAGAAGAAGATAAGAGGGATACCTGGGAGAATAGATAGGAAGGCGGTGGCGGTGGCTCAGGAGATGTCTCTGGCGTTGGTGAGAGAGAGTCAGAAGTGAAGGAGGAAAGGAAAAAAAAAATTAAAAGAGATGGAGAGGGAGCGGCCTCTACTAACAGAGGAATGGTGGTGGAGGTAAGTGACAACTGATGGATCGGAGATGTCAGATTTTTGAAAAAATTTGTGGGTGAAAAATGATAAATTTGGGAGAAAATAAGGGGGATATTAGTGGCCGTTGGATGAATTGATTTGAGACCGTTAGATTTGTTTGTTGAAGCTATCCTGTTTTATATTATAGATTCTCACAAACTCTCTGACTTTATCCCTTATACTTAAAATCTCTCGCAAAAAATTTCATAAGATATCTATTGTTGAAATTTTGACTTCTACATTACCTTTGCGCTAGTGTAATATTTTGTCTAATATTTCATTCTTTTTTTTATTGGTAAAAATAGGTCAAATAATGAATAAAAAAAGGTGGATTCTATTTCATTGGACAATTGACACGGTTAAGAGTATTAATCAAATCATCTATGCATTTATGTACTTATTAGGATTTAGGACGCTCTCAAGACGCTCCCGCACTCAGATTTTTTTGAATTTTTCCGCGCTTGCGCTCCTGCTCAAAGTGATCTAACTCATTAGGGTTATGCCTTCACATGTTTGAAGCAGAAATAACATCCTCAGAAGAGTTTCAAGTAGCCTCGTTGTACCTCACATTCGTTATTTAAGTATACCTGATGGTCACTTAGAATAATATATCAGAGATGAGAATTTTGACATCTTTTAGAGTATATAAAGAGCAGTTACAACCCTCAGTTCATGATGTGAAACTCCAGGTATTCTGCAGGGATGATATATGTTCAAGTTCTACTATATGAACCAGCTCTCACCAAATCAAGAAAGGCCACAAATAATAAAGAAGGTAAGAAAAATGAAAACTAGGAGGAAAATCAAACTCAACATCATGAACCTCATCATCCCCCTCTCGTTGTCCCCTTCCCCAGTAATAGTGCTTGACCAAAAAAAAATTATATGATTGGTTTTTAGTTTTGATTTAATTGATTTAATCTGGTATTTATACTACTTGATTTTCATGTTTTATTTGAGGTCATAGTGGTGAATTAAGTATTGCAATGGTCAAAAAATACTTGACCCTGTATTTCTATGAATTTGTTTGCTTCCTGCATTAGATACGCATTGAAACATTGAAAATGTGGATAAATTTGGCAAACATTTACTGTTTTGTTATGTGTGAGTGACGAAAACTTGAACGGAAACTGTTGCAAGTTCAGAACTGTTGAGGTGCATTGCTAGAGCTTCAAATACTACTTTTTGGCACCACACAAAGAGAGAGAGAGAGAGAGAGGTTCAAATTGACACAGATATGAGCCACATGAACAACAGAGGCTGCATTGTCAGATCCACCATATACCAAATCATGTGGTCAACGGAGGCCGCCAAATCATGTTCATAGCCGGAACTCATGTCTTTTACTATATAATTGATTTGAGAGAGTATTTGGCATGTGGATTATCTTGGGCAGTGGCAGGTCTTATGTCTTAGACCCCATTTTAGGCTGCATTATAATTTCTGATGTCTGTGCTACCAACAGAGATTTATTAGACACAAATGAATCAAATAGTCCAATATGTTCTTGATGTCCAATGGGGAAACTCTTGTAACTGAGTTTTTGGTCTAATCAGTGTCCTTAAGCTGTCATTGCTATGCCAGAGTGACATTGAAATGACTATCAAACTGACTACCAAATCAATCAAAATGAGATCTTTGCTTTAATTTCATTCCTTATTGCAGGTAATATTCCTCCTCCTCTGAACCATTAGCATTTAGCGCCAGCATATACTGTCCTATTGGAACAACTTTATGGTATCAATTGCCAAGCGCTGGGTCTAGCTGGTAGCATCTGATGTAGTTGAAGGTATATTATGTGGAAAAAGTTTCATGAACAATTGATCTATAAGAAGCACATAATTCATTTATGTTTAAGTGTTCATATCAAGCTGTGCCTTTGATGCCAATATATTGACAGGAGGATTTTAAATTGTGATTCTGCATTACAATGAAATTCTTGTGTTTCTGAATCACACTCAAAATTCTTGAAGATGCTTGGGTTCTTCAATATATCAATGTGAATATTATGTCTAATTTTCTGGCATTTTCCAGGATGTTATTTGTAATGTCAATGACCTTGGTAAACAGTGTCAGTGTTAGTATGCAAATGTCCTGCTAACTTCTACAGAAAATAAAGCACTGAAACCTTCTATCTCTTTATTGCTATTGAATTTTATGGTAACCCATTTTTCTCGCCCACATTATGTCAACCTGATCTGTCAGGACCTTGGATTTTGATTATCCTCTAGCTTGAAAAATTTACATTGGACATGAGTGGCTATGGTGAAGCGGTCGTCCTCTCAGATGTTGATTTTTTTTTTCTGTATTTATTTTGGAAATTATTGTTTGGTTGCCTATGAATTTGCATCTGTTTGCATGTGAAAATGTGAAAGGGGACACACAAACACATCAAAAGGCAAAAATACAGTTTCTAAGCCAGTTTCATCCATCATTTATTTCAAAGATCAATGATCTAGGTAAGTTGGTGTTTCATGTGCCAGAGTCCTGAAAATCATAGTATCAGAAGTCATCGAAACTTTGTCACTCAATTCTGATTCAGCAAACATGAGCAAACTCTGCCTTTCCTGATAAAAATAACCTAATGGCCTCTCCCCTGCATACTGATACACTCCTTGCACTGCTTAGGTTAACAGCAATTGTTATTCAAGAATCTCAGTTGAATTTTTAAGTCAAAGATGGCTTTCTAGAGTGCCTATATGCCACTAAATTGATGGCTTTCTAGGATGCCTATATGCCGCTAAATCAAGCAATGTTAATCACTAATTAGGAGTGAGTTTGGTTCTGCAAGCAAAAAAGTGGGGAGAGTGGAAGGGGTGGGGGGTGGTGGGTGGTGGGAAGAGTTTCATTAAATATCTATTTCTTTATTGAAATTATAATGCTGGTGATTTATTTGTCAGACCTGCCTGACTTTATTACACTGTAATTAAAGACATCTTTACTCGCTATTTTTTCTGTTAAGTTATAACTCTTTTCACCTTGACTTCACAATTTCATCTTTCATTGCGAGTGAGAGAGCACTAAGACTACACCCAATATCCACTGTCACTCCAGGCATGGCAATAGCTCTACTCCCCACAAACCCACCTTCTGCTACCCTGATCTTCCCAAACTTAACTTTCCCCCCATCACCTTCATAGATGTGACCAAATAGCAGAGCTTCTTTTCCCACACATCCACTTCTCTCAATTTCCACCATTTCAGGATTCAATATAGCTCCCATGCTATCCACATATGCACCTTGACTTACATCAATATCTGAACCCATGAGCTTCATCCACATCACAAACAAAATAGATCCACTTGTCATTACCATGAAATAGTCCCCCACCAATGTCCTAAAAGCCTGCCATATGGTGTCCATAAAGACTCCTGCACTCCAAATCAATACAGTCCCACCATCTTTCTTCTTGCCCACTAAAATCCATTTGGCCACAACACAAGCTAATGCAGCCAATATACCTGAAGAAACCCAAAACAGAGGAAGCAACCAATGCAATGGGTACATCATGGTCCCCTTCAAGTACAATGCCCAATTCAGAGGACCAATAATCAGATAACCCAAGAGGTAATAAGGCAAAAGAGTCTGTAGAAATGGTTGAACAAAAATGGCCCATGAAGTTTGATACCAAGTTCTTGCTAAAGTGACTTCACCAGAATCCTTTTTCTTCAATGCTGCTGCCATAGGACAGCCAGAAAGGTCCACTTTCACGTCGGACTGCTCTATAAAGATCCTCCAGGCCTCCGGAAGTGGTTCTCCATTTCTCAAATACTGGCAAATTTCATAGATCAATGACCGGCCATGATCGATCGAAGCACTCTGGGAGGATGATGTAGCCCGGATGACATCCACCTCATGGCACTGGAGCCAAGGATTGAACTCCAGCTCCTCTGACTGTTCTTTGGTGAGGTTTTCATCAATTACTACCTCTCCAACATCGACAAATGGGAACTCAGTTTCATCCCATGGTTTGGTGCAGTCAAGTGCAATTTCTTGGGTGGCGTCATCACTTGGCACAGGCCGGAACTGCAGTTGGAAGATATATCGAACCCCACCAGGGGAATTCACACGGTGTTGGAAATCTTCTGCAAGGAATAGTAGTGGGCGTGTGTCATTACTGTCCCTTGGAATTGCACCTGTTTCTGGTGGGAGAATTCCAATGGGCTCAACCTTTCCTGAATCTTCACTGATCTTCTCATCAAAAGGTCTCAATTTGAATTTCACATACATTTCCTGTCCATCTGTGAACCTGAAGAGCCTGCATATATTTGAGTAGTAATGCATCTTGGCATAAGAATTTGCATGGCGTAAGGAAGTCCACACTGCGTCACGTACATGCGGAACACGCTTCACATGCTCCTCCCTGGCTGGTAGTCCACATACAAGCCATGTCGCAAAATCAGTAATTGTGCGGGCATAGAATGCTTTGCCTGTTTTTAATGTCAGGTCCAGAAGTCGGTTGTCATCTCCTGAATTATGTGAGAGTATTCTTATTGCTGCACCACGTGCATCGATCCTTGCATCGTCATCCGCACTCAAGCTGTTGCTATGCCTTACTATCACCGGATAACTCTTTCCAGGGTGGAAGATCTTGTGATCTGGAAAGCCTTTGATATTTTCATTTATCTTCAGAACTCCCTTCCCACTGACACCAATTCGATGGAAATATCTTGATCTAACCTTCAGTGTTGTGGCAGCCAGATTTGCAGCCAGATTCCCAACAATCTTCTTATATTTTGTGTCCATCTCTTCTATGCGATCATCCAAAGCATGCATAATGTTCTTTATCATTACTGGAGTTTGAGAACCAATGTAAACGCCTCCCCTTTGGAGTACTGAATTCATTGGAGCAACTGAAAGAGCACCAAGAATAACATCATTTTGTATAACTGACCCAGGTAGGACTAGGCTTTGACTCCCAACTACTGAATTATCCTGCACTTGAACTTTCCCACATTTAAATCCACCGGAGGAATAGAACCCAGGAATAATTCTGCTGAAGTCTCCCAGATGGACACCGGCACCAATTGAAATCAGTTCCGGTTCAGAAACTGGGTTAATAGCTCTAATGGAACAGTGTTTTCCAACTTTTGCACCCAAAAGCCTCAAGTACATGCAAAAGGCTTCTGTTCCAGAAAGGAGTTTGGCAAATCTGAGATGGCAGGCGATGGTGATTCGGTGCCGAAGCCAAGTTCTCAAGTGGGTTTGCTTTGTGTCCTGCTTCCTGGACAGAAGATGGGTCACAGTGCAGGTGAGGAGGCTGAGTATCAGGCCATGAGCTAGGTAAGCAACGGCAACAGAGATGGCAAAGCTAGTTGGACATGAAGAGGAACTGCCTATCATAGTGGCATATGCAATGACGGTGAAAGGAAACCAGTGGAAGGCTCCAGAGATACAGAGAAATGCAAAGTGTTGAAGAAGAGGAGACTTTTGAGCTGCTGTAATGTAAAGGAAATACAGGATAGCTGCTGAGAGAGAGCTGAGGAAGCCGACCATATAGATGCCCATGAAGTGGTAAACAGCTGGACTCTGAGTATCATTGGTATCTGTTGCTAGTCCTGCACCCTGAAACCATGATAGACGAACACAGTGGTGATTAGTTTCTGATTTTGAGCCTGTGAACAGGTTTGTATTTAAACATAATTATTCAAGAGAATGATATGTTACACATAGCTATATAGCTCATTAAAGCCACATTCTATTTTGTTCTATACAGCCATTAATGGATATTTTCCAGTTTATCTTTTGATACAAGGCTATATTTGGTGCTATGCAGTCATTAATGAAAATACTCATAAATTTGATATCTCTCAAGTGTACCAGTCAGCTCTATTGACATTTTTTCCCACTTTTCTCTAGACATTTAACACACATGTTGCAGGCATATTTGTCAATTTCTGTAGGATAGTGCTTATTTGAACAAGAAGTGACTCTTTGAATTGGCACAATTTTGAGAAAAGGAGAAACTAATATTTTTTTGCTTCCTTTTTCAGCTAAGTGATATATAGGCAAAAGTTTATCATCCTTTTTGGTTCATAAATAATGTTATAGAACTGATGACAAAAAAAATAATGTTCTCGAATGCAATTCACAGTCATGATGCCATGTTTTAAATTCATGATGACTTTTGACTTAGAAATAATGAAACCTGCAGTTTAAATTTTTTTTCCCCCCTTAATGATATATGTTTGAATAGTTGAAAATAACTGTAATTGATATAATATACATACTGTTTTGAAAGGAAACATCAAGTTGTTTAATATCTTAGATAATGGACATCTGTTGAAGTAGCCTGCCTAAAGAGTTGTAGTAAGATTCATATGGGAAATCAGGAAGTGCTTACTTTTGGAAAATTGCTAACCTTGTTGGACTTCAAAATATGCTTTCCTCCTTCAATCTTTTGCAAGGCTGGTACATCTGCCTCATCTCCTAAAACACTTCCTTTTTGGATTACAGTATATGGTCCAACGGATGAATTTCGTCCAATTCTAACTGGGAGGAAACTCAAGGTTCCATTCTTCACTTCATGGCTTTGAATCAGTGCTCCTTCTGCAATCACTGTTCCATCTCCAATTGAAACCAGAGATGGGTCTGTAATGTCAACTGTATCAAGCAAAACTGACGATCCTATCCTAGCTCCAAACATCTGAAACCAGTACTTCAGGAACACTGTTCCTCTCAAATGTACTGCCATAACGTTTGAAGCAATTTCCTGGACCTTGTAGAGTGCCCACCACTTAACAAAATCCGTTGACCAGATGGAAACTTCAGGGGTCAGTGCATAATTTGGTTGAAGGAATGAATTCCCGAACAAAGCAATACAAATGCATGTAAAGAACATGCAAAGGATCCAAGAAAGAGGGGCGAACACTAGGGAAATTGTATAGCCCAACCAGGGACTCACTTCGATCAAGTTATGGCTTGAAGATATCAAATTCATAAAAGCAGAAAGTGAGAGAATTGTAGGGAGGATCAGCATGGCACAAACATATGTAAGAGCTACAAGTTGTAACAAGAAGATACCCAATTGGTGACTCAGGGAAACTTCAATTATCAACTCAGCAGAATCAATCTCGGATTCTGGAAGATAGGAAAGAGTTGTCATGTTCTGAGGTTGGGACTTCATGACAAGATTCTCTGAGAAGCTTGCTAAGTCCTGAATGCAAGTTGCAGTGAATATATCAACTGCCCCAACTGGTACTCCTAGGAAATCTGAAAGCTTTTGAGCTGCTCTGACCACACCAATTGAATCAATCCCATAAGATACCAGGCTTTCAGTTGGAGAGATCTTGTTTATAGAAATCCCAGTCTGCTCAGAAACTAGCCCCTTCAAGAACTCAATAATTTGTTTGTTACTCAATCTGGGATTTGGTGAAGGAGAACTTGTCACCAGCTGGGGTCGAGGGGTTTTCCCCTCCCTACACGTGCCTGTAGTGAAAGACCGTATCAATTTTCGTTTACACAGAATTGGCTCTGGAACTAAGTTTAGTGTTCCATCACTAAACTGCTGGAGGCATTCAAATCTCTTGATCTTCCCGGAAGTTGTTTTACTGATGGTTCTGGGCTTGATTAGCTTAACCGAAGCAACATTTACACCATGTTCTTCGGCGACTCGGGCTTGAATTTGTTCAATCACCTCTTTACCAACAGGTTTACCATCTCTAACCTCTGCAATGACAACTAAGCCAACCTGATCAGAACTATCTGGCACTGAGATACCTTTTGTTGACAAGACTTCCTCTGGAACCCCAATGACAGCACAACAACCTGGGCGTAGAAGTTCAGATGAGCTCTCAACCGTCTTTTCTACATCCGCCGAATATATGTTTCTTCCGGCCACAATTATAAGATCCTTGATTCTTCCAGTAATGAACAATTTCCCATCAATTATCCGTCCCAGGTCCCCTGTTCTTGTGTACTTTCTACCGGGGAATATCTCAAGCTCATTTCTGAAAGTTTTCTCACTCAAATCTTCCCTGCCCCAATACCCAATTCCAGAACTTGGGCTGCTAATCCATATCTCTCCTTCCTTTCCAACTTCTTCATGCTCTTTACCAGTATCTGGGTTGGCTATTCTGATGTCAATATCTGCATCGTTTGGATTCACGTAACCGCAACAGACCCTTCCTTGCCAATCTATCAAGATAGGGTTCCCTTCTCCGTACGCACAGCTAACAAATACACAATTTTCTGCCAATCCATAACCAGGAGCCATCACCTCTTGCGAGAGGCCAAAAGGACTAGTTAGCTCAACAAATCTCTTTAAAGTTTTCTGCCTAACTGGCTCAGCAGCAACCATGAGAAAAATCATGGTAGAAAGATCATAGTTCTGAACCTTGCTATTGTCAACCTCCAATCTTCGAACTACAAGTTCAAAAGCAAAGTTGGGGCCAGCACTGTGAGTTGCCCGATACTTGCTCATGATCTGAAGCCACAAGAGGGGGTTCCTGATGAAAGTCAATGGAGAAAATAATATTGCAGATCCCCCACTAACCAAAGCTGTAAAAAGTCCCCCAATCAATCCCATGTCATGATATTGAGGAAGCCAACTTACTAGTACCGTATTTGATGTGCTCTTGTATCTTTTTCGCATTAACTTTACATTATGAATGAGCCCACCATGGGTTATTATCACTCCTTTTGCATCACCAGTAGATCCTGATGTGAACTGCAGAAAACACTGTTCATCTTTCTCAGGTTCAGATCGATACTCTTTGTCTTGCGGAAGCATACTTTTGGAGTTCTTGATCCAAGAATCTGTATGTAACCAGGGAAGATTTGGCCAGCGAGCTGAGCATTTGCCATTTTTACCGGAAAACGAGATCAAGTTCTTCACTGCACCTGCCCGAACAGCTCCATGATACCCAACGCTGGATAGAATTGCCACTGCATTGCATGATTTAGCGATGTTTTCGATCTTCAAAAGTGCTTGTCCACCTCTTTGAAGTGGATCCGGGGGAAGAACTGGAACAGGTAATACACGGGCTCTTAAACATCCAAAGAAAGCATCAACAAAATCTAGACCTGGGACGTGGACAAGGAGAACCCTGTCACCAGGTTTGATAACTGGTTTGCTGCTAGTCAAGAGCTTGTGGGCAATGCAAGAAGCATTGGCGTGAAGTTCTCTGTAAGTCCTCTGGCACACACCTTCCCCTTCCTCATTAATCCATGTATAGAGGGTCTTGTTTTGAATGACATTATGAGTTCCCCAGTGCTTCAAATATGCATCAAGGCTACACAAATTGGGGAACTCCACTCCTCGGGACTCATCTAACTTTTTGGGATTCCCATCCCGACAATCTGACTGTAGTGAAAACAATCTCTGCAGAAATGGTTATTCAATTAATGGAAATGACCAAATATGAAGCATCCAATGACTAATCCAATTACTGATCTTCTCAGGTTACCTTGACATAAGGAAACATTGGCAATGGACTATCATTTCCAAAGTGCTTGCAGATTAGAGCCATGGCGTAAGATGAATTTCTCTCTGTGAGCTCAAATGCCACAAGTCCACCCAAATAGTAAGTGTTCTGCTGACCCTGAAGTTCAGTCTCTACTTTCTCGTAGAACCCGTCCTTCATATCTGTATTCAAATTAAAGGAAATAAATATCTCAAGACTCATGGTAGTAAATTGTATATTATTAATGTATTTTAGACCTTACCTTGGCTCTTGACATGAGGGAAATACTTAAATTGCCGCTGCAGAACTACTTTCTCTACATTCCCCCCCATTCTTCTAACTGCATCAATTGCAAGCTCTGCGACCTTTGGTCCCCCAATGTTGGCAGATTTGCCATAAGACCAGAACAAGAAAACATCTGTGTCTGCATAGAATCTTTGCATTGCAACTGGATTCCCCATAGTTGCAGGATCTTCCATGAATTCCTCGAAGTAGTAAAACCCGATTGGCATATGTTCAAAGCCCTTAATCTTCAGAACAGTAGTGTAGTAGTCGATAATCTCTACTTTACTGAACAATTCCTTTTCAAGTTCATTCAAATCCATAACTTGAGTCTCAGTTTCTGCAGAGACAGAACCTATATTAACATCTAATTGCACAACAGGTTACGTAAAAAAATTCTCAGAATAAATACACTTGACCAACCTGCTAAGTTAGAAACTGGTGATCTGTAAACTTTTCCATTCCTAAAGGGGAAAGCCCCAGAAATAATGATCTTATCAAATTCCATTACTTTGACTTCTCCATTAGCATTTTTGACATCAATACTGACACCAGACGAACTGCGTCTTACTGCCATCACTTCAGTGTTGCAGTGTACTTCAATTGGCAGAGATTCACAGACCTTCTGCCAAAAACTCATGTATCCACCTCTAAATCGTCGAATTTTTCCGGCCATAGAAGTGCGGGTGAACTCATGAATGTATGCGTAAGGCATGTCTTGCACAAAACCATATCCAGAAGCAGTGTACCCATAAGCCACGGATTTGGGAACAGATTTGAATCCACGATCCTTGAGAAATGTTGGAGTTAAATCTGAAGCTAAATCACTAACTGCATGCACACCAATTCGACCTGAATCCTTTGCTTTGTCCTGTGAAAACAAGATGGAGATACATCTTAATCTCTGAGCTCAAAATCTATGAATAAATCAGCCTCATTCACAAAATAAAAAAAAGGAACTGACCTGGAGTTCTAAAGTCAGTGAAATTACAGATAGATAATCATCTGCAACTTGGTTGTCATGATACTTTCCTGTAGAACTGTCAATGAGGGCAAGTTTGTGGGAGTCCATTTCTTCTAGGTCACACCCAATCTCTTTTGCCAAGTGAAAAATGGTGGGAGCACTGTTTGCTGCAAGAACTTGACCTCCCAGATCATAGGTATTTCCTGTTCAGAAGGAAAAATCATTCATATCTGAAGTTATTGAAGAACCATTGAGAAAAATATAACATCCGTGTAGTTGTACCTTCAATATCAATTGATTCACACAAGCCACCAACTGTTTGATATTTCTCTAGCAAGGTTACATTACTGTAACCAAGCTTAGCTAGTGCATAAGCAGCTGATAAGCCGCTTGGACCTGCTCCTACTATCCCAATCCTTGTGCTCAAAGGCAAGCATGGGTGTAACTTTGAGAATTGATCTTCCATTGATTTTTTCAGGCCTAGCTTTTCTGTAATTTAGGCCTCTTTACTTGCAGGGCCTGTTGAGATCAAACAAGTAACTGAAGTCAGCGCACCTTCCTAATAGACAGACACCCAAGAGGGTCTCCACGTGATGGGAGGGCAATAGATAAAATACTTAATGTTATACCCGTCTCTACTAATACTGACTTACGTTTTTAGAGTAAATAATGTCTAAAACTTCCGCCAATTCCCGTTTCACTAACCAAGATACCGAAAAATACAAGAGCTTGGAATCCTCCGACGAGCAGATTGAAAAGTTCTAAATTTATTTAGTTGAAAAAATCTTATTCTTCTTCTTGCCTTTTTTGGAACATGATCAGCGAGTCTCTATGACTATTCTCTGTCCTCAGGAGTAATAACATATAATCAGAACAACATAGACAAATACCCCCGGCCGGACCAAAGCTTTAACTTTTAAAACAAAGCTCCTTATCATCAAACAGATAATGACTTGGCCAATAAAAATATATTGGTATATACATACAATATGATAATACTCATCGCCAACAGAAAACGACTCTGTTTCACACAGGAAACATCACTGTTACTGCCAAACACCAAAGGGGAAGCCACAGTACCACACTGTGCGGCTAAAAAGATTTAAAATTTATTTTTGTACCCTCAAAGGTTAAATTAATCACATTACACTCTAGGTCTATTAAAAGCGTTACAATGTAGTCTCTTCTTTAACTTTTGTAACTCATTTTTTCAAAAACTACACATTGACATTGACGGGATAGACAACAAAAAAAAAAAACGAAAGTATTATACTGCAACACTTTTAATTTCTATAATTTGAAAAATTTAATTTTTAAAAGTACAAAAGTGTGAGTTCTTAAAACTTTCGGGGTGCAAAGTAAAATTTGCACAACATCAAAATGGAAGAAAAGTTTCAGCATCTATCATAGTAAAAGACACCACCACGGATTGTTAACAATCTGTTGTTGACAGATCAAAAGAACGCCAAAACGTGGATTTCCCAGGCGTGGCTTTCTTCTATTTATATTTCCGTCTCTTAGTCTATGTGATCGTCATTACTAATGGATATATTACAGGCACCCTGATGTTTAATAAGAAAAAAAGATTCAAAGATCAAAATTTTCAACACCTACGAAACATACAGTTTTCATACGAATGTTGGTCATTAGTAGTATAGTTACTTGAAAGAATACATTATTTCATTTGCAAACAACTAGAAACTCAGGAATTAGTGTCATTAGGAAAACTGCTTAATGGATAGATGAACATACCTTAGAGATCCAGAGAACGTTAAATATCACTGCTGCCTCGACTTGGCTTGAACTGCATGCAGAACTTCCTGTAATGGCATTGACTCTATTGTTAAAGGAACCAAACTATGGAAGATTTATCAGGCCAAAAAATGAATTCTTATCCCTTCCATCTCTGATCTTCTCTTCTAATTCTTGCTCTATTTACCTATATACACTACACACTCTCTACATAACAATCACCCATTAAGGTGGAAAGGAAACTTCTTTATAGAAAATGAAAGTAAAGTAGTGAAAAAACTATTTCTCATTGGACCCGCAAACAAATATGGCATGGCAAACCTGAAAGCTGAATGGGAAAGGGACACTGTAGCAGTAACTGAACAAGTTGGAGTGGAACCTCAAATTCGATTGCCAAATGGCAGAGAATGACTCTTGAGTGATGACCGAACCTCCACTGCAGGTTATTGCTGATCTCATGGTTCGAATTTAAAGAACACAGATGCCTATTGTGTACAAACAAGAAGCGACAAGGCTCAACTGTTCATCATTGTAAGTCATTTTTCTTGCTGAATCCGAGAATTTACCCATATGAATTGTCTGGATTGCGAAAAATGTCATTTTGTTTTTTCCAACGTACTCGTGAAGTCCGTCTTAGTTAATGAAGGACAGACAGAGAAGCATATGGAAATAATATTCCCTCCAGTGCTTGTACTTTCTTGCCGAAACAAATATATTCCATCCAGTGCTTGAAAAGATTTGTGTACGTGTGTGTGTCTGTCTGTGTGTGTGTGTGTGAGAGAGAGAGAGAGAGAGGGGGATTATGCTTTTGGGTACAAGGATCTTTTGATTGTAAGTGGCGTCACGAGCCATGGTTTAAAATATCATCGATTTTTTTGAACATCTTTGGGTACAGGGATTTCGATATGTTTGTTTTATGAATTTATTAGAAATAATTCGAATACATTCTATAATATCAAAAATAAAGTGTTAATTGTATAATGTTTATATTTTAAATAATAATTTATTTTTGAGAGAGAAGAAAATGACAAGATCTTGAAACGCATGTAGAAAATAAAGAGAGATATAGAGGAGAGAAAAGAGAGATGTGGATGTAGGTTATTGAAATTGTGTAGTATTGGACAGTGTGGGTTAATTGAGTTGTCTGAGATTAATTGAGTTGTCTGAGATTGGGGGAGAAGTTATTTCTAGCTAATTTTTTTTTAAAAAAATTAATTGTATATCGTTAGATAAGATTAGACTAAAATTGAATTAATTTCAACCGTTGTGTTTTTTTATAAGTATGCAATACAAATTATTATATTTTATTTGCTGCCATGGCTGTAATCACCAAGTTACACTTTGGACTACATTCAACATTTCTCCCCCGACATGAAATACTTGTGTTCATAATGTACAATCATTCAAATCAGGTATTTTTATATTTATTATTTTGACACAATTTTCAATGCACGTAATCGAGTCATTGTCATTTCGTATTCGTGTCAAATATTTATCAACTTTAACTCAATCTATTTAGCAAATCGCATTAAATATCCTAACACTAGTCTAATTTTTTAATTATTGTCTCGTGTTTGAGTTAATCCATAACCCGAGAATTCAAAACCTAATATTAAAACTTTAGTATCTCTTAATGAAAGTGATCACTCACAAGTTTTTCATAAGCTAAACATATATTTAGGTTCAACAAAAAACATGTAAAAAAAATCCCCTCATTAACAATAATTTATGTGAATACATTATAAAAATAATAAAAGTTAATCATTTTATTCATATAATACAAATTAAACATGTTTATTATATCAAATGTGGGTTATTCGTGTTTTACATTAACCTGATTAGTTTATTATTCGTTTTAACAGATCATGTTGTTTTCTGAATTTATGCCGAAAATTAATCGATCTTAACAATAACAATAACTTGAACTCTACATCTTATTTTTTTTTCTATGATAAGTAGATGATGTTCATTGAGATAAACAAAATGAGAGAGGAGGGAAACAAAAATATAGAGGCATATCCATCATCCTAGTACCCGCATCCTCAATTACTTCCACCAGTAATATTCTCTGAAACGGAATTTCGGGGCGCCGATCGTGAATCAGAACAAAATTAACATTAAAATGACGACACAACACATCCAGGAGAGAAAATCTATGTGCAACACTGGATATACCCTTGGTTTGGAATTATAAAAGACGGTTCCATCGTGCCAATAGATTGATAGTGCAATGCATTAAGTGCTGTAACGAGACCCATCATTATATTCTCAAATTACGTCTTTCAATTATAACTCTATAGCATTATTGATATATAAATTCATAAGAGAGAATATCCCATCGAAAAAACGGCTAAATCGGGATGAAAATTTTGATTCGTTATCATTGAAACTGCATAAACATGTCTGTTGTTGTGGAAATCACAATGTTCAATGATTCGTTTAAACAGGTTTTTCTAAGAATTTCAAGTAGCTGCGATATGTTTTGGTCATTGCTTTTTTATTTTTGTAGTATTTTCAGAACGAGCTCTNATTTCAAGTAGCTGCGATATGTTTTGGTCATTGCTTTTTTATTTTTGTAGTATTTTCAGAACGAGCTCTTGTACAGAGAATGAAATATAGAAAAAAGTATTAAAAAAGAAGATATCTTACGTTTTTAGTACGCCTTTCTTTGAGTCGTTATAATTAGAGTTGAGAATTGATTCAAAAGTAAAAGATAGTTCAAAATGGCCCCTCCACTCTAATAGCTTGACCCAAAAAAAAAAAAAAACAAAGACATCACAGGATGAAACCCAAAGAAGAAAAATATTCACAATAATTAAATGACTTCATCGCAGGTATTGAATCGCACAGACAGGCATTGAAAGCATACAAATTGTAAAGTAGAGAAAGCATTGTACTAAGTCAACAAATCCCAAAATAACAACATTATAGGAAGGCATCAGTGATTCATCACAACACCCCTCCTCCTACATTCAGGCATTGAAAAGAACAACTCTCGCCACATGACGACATCACACAATAATTTATCAGCCACATAAAAAAAAAAANAAACAAAGCTCCTTATCATCAAACAGATAATGACTTGGCCAATAAAAATATATTGGTATATACATACAATATGATAATACTCATCGCCAACAGAAAACGACTCTGTTTCACACAGGAAACATCACTGTTACTGCCAAACACCAAAGGGGAAGCCACAGTACCACACTGTGCGGCTAAAAAGATTTAAAATTTATTTTTGTACCCTCAAAGGTTAAATTAATCACATTACACTCTAGGTCTATTAAAAGCGTTACAATGTAGTCTCTTCTTTAACTTTTGTAACTCATTTTTTCAAAAACTACACATTGACATTGACGGGATAGACAACAAAAAAAAAAAACGAAAGTATTATACTGCAACACTTTTAATTTCTATAATTTGAAAAATTTAATTTTTAAAAGTACAAAAGTGTGAGTTCTTAAAACTTTCGGGGTGCAAAGTAAAATTTGCACAACATCAAAATGGAAGAAAAGTTTCAGCATCTATCATAGTAAAAGACACCACCACGGATTGTTAACAATCTGTTGTTGACAGATCAAAAGAACGCCAAAACGTGGATTTCCCAGGCGTGGCTTTCTTCTATTTATATTTCCGTCTCTTAGTCTATGTGATCGTCATTACTAATGGATATATTACAGGCACCCTGATGTTTAATAAGAAAAAAAG